AAAGAAAAAGTTTCAACAATTAAGTTGGTGATTTCATGAGTAGTGTTTTGAGAAAATGTACGCCATTCGAAAGTTCGTGTATGTTTTCCAGAAAACGCAGTATTTAAAATGTAAAGAGTTGTGATTTGTTGTGTTGAAAGTGGATGTATTAGATCCAGAAAATCCCATATTTTCCCTAATGGTTGAGATATGAATTGTTGTGTTTTCCAAGAAAAACCCTTATTTTCTTATAAAAGTATGAAATGCATATGAATGTTCGTGTTATAAGTTGTAAATAATTGCACCAGGAAAATCCCTTATTTTCCTATTAGTTGTTTGGTTTGTATACAGGAAAACCCCTTCTTTTCCTAACATAACTGGCAGTCTCTAAGACCGAAAATCGCAAGAAACCGACGTTCTTAAAAGTTGTGTCATAGTTTTATATAATAAAGCTATACGAAGATCGCATTTGTTAGATGAAGAATAGTTTTAATAGCTACTCGTTCATAAAAGCATAATACCATAATAATTGTATATCCGATGAGTTTTATAACCATACTAAACATAATATGCCTGTAACGACGTTCTTCAGGCGTCGCAGCATTATGACAACTGTCACCCCAAAGGAGGAACTGTAGCTAACAGTCAGGGCGCGGGATCATGACTTCCCGTATAGATCTATATACATTTGACACGTTCTCCGAACGGGAGACTCTGGTTATAGACAGGACTTGCAGCATTACTTTCTAAAAAAAAAAAGTAGTGTTTGAAGATATACACGTCTCATGGATTCTCAACTAAGTTTGTATTAAAGTGATAGTTTTGTATGCAAAGTTTATCCTTTTTCATAATGTTTGACAAAGCAAAAATCATAAGTTTTCAGAATGTATAAAACGACTTAGCAATTAAAGGTACTTTGAAATCACTATATATTTTATATAAGTCTAATGCACGCAATGTATGACAAGAGTTTTCCATAGTAGTAAGGAATTCCAAGTGATTTATTCGATAAAACAAGTGAAGTGAAACTTTATAAAATACACGATAATAACCATATGTTTACTTGTATTCCCCCCCCCCCCCTTTAAAGCGTATAAAAGCATTTAAAATGTATTTAAAGTGTGTTTAAAAGGGGTATGAACTCACATGATCGATTGAAGAAAGCGCGATGAGAACCGAGCAGCACTTCTACTCGAGAAAGCGGATCTCTCGAGATTCTCGGGAAATCTCGGGAGTCTCGGGAGTGTAAAACTTTCTTCCCACCTTGGGTATGAAAACCGGGCCTTTGGGATGATTCCGAGGGTTGAAACGCAGAGCTTCGGCATTCGAAAGGAAGGAAATTAGCAATTTTGACCGGCACCCTCGCATCTCTATTTATAGGGGTCTGGGAGGTTGCGTTACGCGGGGCGTACTAGAGTACGTGTTGCGTACTCATGCGTCATGCATGAGCGCATCCTCGGTCGAAACATTGGAGCGACGTGGACGAACCGGGGCCTAGCATCCGAGTACGCTGGGCGTACGAGGGATCGGACCGCTGACTCGTACTTCGGATAATACCGAGTTTTCATTAAATTTATATTTTAATTAATTAGCAAACTTCAAAAATTCATATCTTTTTCATACGAACTCCGTTTTCGACGTTCTTTATATCCACGCGAAGGTGAGACTACAATCTACAACTTTCGTTTAGACTCCGTCGGCTAGTTTTGATTTTATTTTTAATATTATATTTTTAATAGATCGGGAAAGGAAAAGTTCGTTAAAGTTCCATAACTTCTTCATCTGATGTCCGTTTTCGTCAGACTTCTTACCGTTGCGCTAGTATTGTTGAGCCCTTCGATTCTCATTTAGATTGTGTCGGCCAAAAGTCTCTCGATCTCTATTTCGAGTTTTTAGCTGTCTACTACTATATCTGTAACTTAGAAAAATCACAACTTCCTCATACGAAGTCAGATTTGGACGTTCTTTTTATGTACGTTTACGGTTTGTTGATATCTAAAACTTTCATTTAGATACCTAAGGTCAAAAACTATTGTATTGAAACTTCGCGTTTTACGTTTATCAGTATTGTCGGTTTTGCCGAGAATCTTCGGTTGGTCATAACTTCTTCGTTATAACTCGGATTTTAGGGTTCTTTATATGTATGAAAACCTTGACACGATTCCTACTACTTTTTTTTAACCCAAATAAGATTTTTGGAAAGTTAAATTTTGACCTAAATTTGACTTGCGTTCCATCATATTGCCTCGAAATATCGGGTTGTCACACTATTTCTTAGGACAATCCTTAGGAATAGATAATGAGGGGTAAATGATTCATAGAGAAGATACTTAAAAATAAAGAAGATAATAGGGATGGGTAAATAGGTTAATTGTTTGATGATGAAACATAATAACTATATTATTGTGGGTTGAATACCCTATGTACTCACCAGTTTCCCAACCTGATCCACTCAGTTTATTTGTATCACAAGTGTCGATGTGAAACTACATTACACTGAGAGATTAAGGAAACGTAGATCACTAGTGTAAATGAATGTAAGGTCTGTTTATGCTTATGTTTCTATATTGACAATGACATCCCATCGTTTTAAAAGAAATAAAATACATTTCTTCGGAAATGCTTTGATAAGTTATTTATCATGTTTTTCTGGGAACAAATTCCGCAACATTTTTTCTTTAAAAGGGATACTCTGATTTTCAAAATAAAGCATAAACAAATCGGTCTTTTATGGCCGTGAAAATAGGGATGTTACAGTCAGGCCCATCCCAGATGGTGGGTGATAGGGGTGACCGTCCAAAGCCTATCTTTTACAGGGGCCCAAATTTTTTATGGAAAATGTTATATTTAGAAGATAGTACAAATAATTTTCTTTCAGTTATTGAGTTATTATAAAAAACTTGATGAAATTTATGTATTTTAAGGGCCTATTTTTTTTCTCTCGCCCTGGGCCTAAAATATGTTTGGAACGGCCTTGCATCAGGTTTGTAGTTTTTCTATAAGCTTTATTATCTATATTATTTATATAATAAGTGTTTCAATCATCTACAGATAAATATTACCTTTGTGATGCCGCATACACCAACACTCGTGGATTTATGGCTCCCTACCGGAATACTAGGTTTTGGTTTGTCGGTTTTCGAAGAAACAGAGCTTTAACTAAGGAAGAAAAGTTCAATCATGTTCATGCACAACTTAGAAATATCATTGAACGCGCATACGGTGTATTGAATGCGAGATTTCCAATTTTGAAATAAATGACTCCTTATACTTTTCCTGTGCAAAGAGACATAGTCATTTATTGTGTTGCAGTCCATAATTTTATAAGGAAATACAATATTCAAGATGACTTATTTACGAACTTTGAACAAAACACTATGGTTACTCATAATATGGAAGGTGGAGGAAGTGAGGACCAAAACATACAAGATATAGAATGGGGTTCAGAAGTTGTTGATTATATGGTTACTTTGTGCGATCAAATTGCTAATCACTTACTTTCAAATGGTTACCGTTAAATTTCTATGCAATTTGTTAACTACTTTTTGATTTTGTATAACAATTTGTATTTGGATTTTGTATGACACTTTGTATTTTGATTTTAAATGATGTATGTTTAATTTGGATTTTATGTGATAGTTTGTATTTTTATAATTATTTTATCAAGTAATATAGACAATATAAGGGTAATATGGTCATTTTCATCATTCAACACAATCAATCAATAAAATAATCAAACAACATAAACTCGGTTAGCTGTGGACTCAGTCAGCATTTTAACCCAGTCAGCTTCTAGTCCGATCATCAACTATCAAATAATCAAACGACCCTTACTCTAATGGTTGTTTGAGGGTATGACTTTTTTTGTAATCAAATAATCAAACGACCCTTACTGTTGCGCCAAAGCCTCTTTGAAGGCAACAATAACTCTAATGGTTGTTTGAAGGTATGACTTTTTTTTGTAAACTTAATAATGAGGATGTTACTAGTCATATAATCTGACGAGCTTTCATTAGTTCATTTAATAGCTTAGAAGATTTGGTAACCAAACACACTATACAGCTTTATTTAATGCTAATAACTTCTTTATCGTACATAACTCATAAGTCAAATTTAAACTTTCTCTTTCTAAATTCATTTCTTTTAAAAGCTAAACCTACATTTTTGTGAAATTGCACAATAGATCAAAAAAAAAAAACCTTGAAAGTTTGAGTTATTTTAAAAACCAACGCTACACTACCTTACATATGGAAATATCTAGAGGTGAACATATATGGCACCTAATTGTTCTTTTCAAACTGTGTGTGTGTGTGTATATATATATATATATATATATATAATATATATATATATATATATATATATATATATATATATATATATATATATATATATATATATATATATATATATATATATATATATATATATATATATATATATATATATATATATAGGGTTAGGTTCATTTGAGACCACCTATATTTTGTGAGACCGTGAGACGCATTTTTTTATTTTTTTTTTTTATTTTTTTTATTTTTTTTATTTAATTCATGTTCCGAAAATAATATTTAAAAAAAGAATTTTTTGATTTTCCCATTTATTTTGCATTTTAAAATTATTTTTAGAATATGTACAGTGTAATATTCTATTTAGAATAGACAAAATTGCAAGTTTGGTCCCTGTGGTATGTCAAAAATTGGATGTTTGGTCCAAAAAGTTTTGGGGTTGTACTGGTGGTCCAAAAGCTTTGATTTGTTGTGGAATTGGTCCAAAGGCTTAACAGCCGTCTACCCCCTCCGTCTGTGTGAGGGTATTTTTGTCAATTCACGCTCATTCCTTTGATATCTTATTAAATTAAACCCCCTATCCTAATTAATTGATACCTGCCGCCAAATCCTCTGTGCATTTCATCGGTCGACTCTCCTGTCACTTTCATCTTCATTCGTTACCCAGAAGCCCTAACCTCCAAGTTGAGTTTTTTATTGTGATCGGTGTTATTTCAGTGTATGAACATACCAATGTGGAATATAAGGCTCTTAGACAAACCGTTCAACGCAAAGGTGGCTTATGGTAAGGATTTTGTAATTTCTCTGTACATTACATGTTTTGTATGTGAAATCATGCTTCTGAACTTATTTTTGTTGTTGGTTTGAAGATGGCCACCCAACATTATTTACCATCAAGCTATACCATGGAGGTGAGTTCACCAAGTTTCCTGATGTTCAATACATTGACGGAAGTGTGAATTATGTTGACATGGTGGATATAGACACGTTTTCAGTTCATGAGTTGGATGCTATGATGAAAGGGTTCAGGTACGGTGTTCCTCCTGTGATTTACTATCACTTCCTTGTGCCTGGTGGAGACTTCCACTTTGGTCTTAAACCCTTAGGCAATGATGATGATTTACGAACTTTTGCCCAATATGTGTGTGATCACAAAATCATGAGGGTATATACTGAACATGGTGAGACAAAGTTACTTACCTACTTTATGAATCCTAAACCTGTTAAGAAGGTAACTATTGTACAAATGGATGAAATAGATGAAAATGATGACAATGAAAACCACACAACTTTCAAACTTCACTTTCATAAGTGATAGACAAAAGGTAATAGATTTCCTTGATGTATTTTAGTTTTCTTATTACACTTGTATTATACTAACCACAGTTTAATGACTTTGTATGGCTTAATTCCAGCCATTGCACAGTTGTTCCCGGTTGCTGAACACGGATTCTGTCTTAGACATATCTATGAAAACATGAGGAAGAGATGGAGAACTACTAAGTACAAAGAAAAGTTATGGAACTGTGCCAAAGCCACAACAGTGCAAGAATTCAATCGTTTGATGAAAGCGTTTAGTGAATATGACATAGAAGCTTATGAATGGTTGAAGAAGATCCCACCACAACATTGGGCTAGAAGCCATTTCACAGGTAGACAACTCTCAATTCAGTGCTAAGTTACACAAATTTGTTGTATGTTGTTCTAAATTACAATTATCTTGCAGGTAGACCAATCACAGACATGCTTTTAAATAATCTATGTGAAGTGTTTAACAGTAAACTGATAGAAGGTAGGGATAAACCAATAATCACATGCTTAGAGTACATTCGGGAGTACATGATGAAGAGGATTTGCAATGTGATAAAGGTTCAACAGAAGTGTGCAAGTCCATTGACTCCAACAGCAACAAAGATCATGGAATCAAACACAACAAATGCTTCTAACTACATAGCCAGGTGGAATTCCTCAGACAAGTATGAAGTACAAGGACCATGGCAAGATCAACATGTTGTTGACATGGGCCAAAGGGTATGCAGCTGTAGGAAATGGGAATTAACAGGAATTCCTTGTAGGCATGTGATTGCAGTCTTATTTGATAAAGCTGACAATGGTGAGGATGTGGGTGAACTTTACACTTATGTACACAAGGTGCATTGGCTTGAAACCTGGAAAGAGGCTTATTCCTACAAGGTAGAACCAATCAAAGGTCGTATCATGTGGCCTGTTAGTGATTGTCCAATAAAGATCAGCCCTCCTCCACATCGTAATCAGCCTGGTAGGCCCAAGAAGAAGAGGCAAAGATCCATGGACGAAAAATCTCAAAGTTAGAGCCAAACTCAAAGTCAAAGTCAAACAATTGGTGCTAGTGGTATAGATGGTCATGGTCCAGGGGGCCGTGGAAAACTCACAAGGAAGTTCATTACTGTCACTTGTAGCAAGTGTAAAAACAAGGGACATAATGCAAGAACATGTAAGGGGCAATGAGGAAATTGATGTGTTGTCTTGTTGGATTAAGATGATGTAATGTATTACTTTTGGGAACCATTGTGTTGTTCTTTTGGGTGTCTGTTTAATGGTTTTGATGTTTTTTGGACAACTTTACCCTCCGTTTAGAATGATGTTTTTTTTGGTCATGTAACAAGAATTTGGTATGTGCAAACAATGGTTATTAACTTTGGATGGTCTTTTGTTTATGCATCATTGTCCTTTACTTTTTAGCATCTTTATGTTACTATTAGGTTATGTTAAGCATTAACAGTTTGTCCCATCACTACTATGTCTAGTAGAACCAAAATATTTGGATGTTTGAAACAAATAACTTCATTACCCACTAACCATAACAATGCATTCACTTGCATGTCCAAAAGAGTACATTCACAAACATAGCAATTTTCCCAAATCTACCACAAAATAAACCACTAAAACATGGAAGAACTACTTCATCAGAAAAAAAAACAAACCTAAAAAAAACCCAGCTACATATCAGGTACAACTTTAGTTTTGATTTTTCTTCCTTTATTTTTCCAATATCATACTTGAACATTTGATTTTCTTCCTTCAATTTTCCAACTTCAGTCTTTAGCTTGTTGATTGATCTCAGCAACCCAGGTATTATTGATTTTGATCGTTCAAACATTTGAGGGTCGATCCATCCCACAAACCCACATGTCGAATCCTAGCAAAATATAAGAAGGAATTGAGTGATCAGTGAAAAATCTTCATAACCAACCACATGAATACTAACCTCTTTAGGGCATCCCCAAAAACGTCGACCAGGGTTCTTATCAGTCCAAGCCGTTCACACTATCGCCATTTGACCACAAAAACACCTCACCATTGTTGATTTTGAGTTTGGAAGACACGATTTTGATTTTAGCAGGAGGAAATATCGATTTAGGGAAAAGATGAAACACATGTTCGATCTATTAATAAGGAGAGTAGACGTTAGGGGGGTTTAATTTAATAAGATATCAAAGGAATGAGCGTGAATTGACAAAAATACCCTCACACAGACGGAGGGGGTAGACGGCTGTTAAGCCTTTGGACCAATTCCACAACAAATCAAAGCTTTTGGACCACCAGTACAACCCCAAAACTTTTTGGACCAAACATCCAATTTTTGACATACCATAGGGACCAAACTTGCAATTTTGTCTTTAGAATATTTCACGTATTTTTCAAAAAAAAATAGAATTTTTTTCTTTTTTATTTTTATTTTTTTTAGTTAATTCAAGTTCCGAAAATAATATTTAAAAAAAGAATTTTTAGATTTTTCCATTTATTTTGCATTTTAAAATTATTTTTTAGAATATGTCAGTGTAATATTCTATTTAGAATATTTAACGTATTTTTCAAAAAAAAAAAACGGAATTTTATTTATTTTTTTATATTTTTTTTAGTTAATTCAAGTTCCGAAAATAATATTTAAAAAAAGAATTTTTGGATTTTTCCATTTATTTTGCATTTTAAAATTATTTTTAGATTTGGTCTCACGATCTCACAAAATTAGAATGGTCTCAAATGAACCTGAACCTATATATATATATATATATATATATATATATATATATATATATATATATATATATATATATATATATATATATATATATATATATATATATATATATATATATATATATATATATAACCAGAATTATTGGTTCTTCAAAGAATCTAATTTTTTTTTCAAGTTTTAGTGTTTATTCTTTATCGAAAAAAAATCTAAAAATATATAAATTCATAAATTAAAATTGTAAATGTTAAATATATTTTTCAGATTAACGGTGTGAATTTAGATTCACATTGTGAATTTGACGAAAAAAAATTATCGAATTTGATATCAATTGAAAAACGATAAAAAATTATGAATTTCTGTATTTTTAGTTTTTTTTTATAAAAAATAATTTATAAAAGTTGAAAAAAAAAAAAAGATTGGTTCGTTGGTTCCTTGGTAAATTATGGTTCTTTATTGAACCTCACCCTATATTTATCCTCCCTAATAAATAAAGAATTTTTTGTCACATGTCATCTTCTCTTTCATTTGGACACATGACATTTTCTAAAATTTTGAATTTTCTATTTTCCACTTGTCATTTTATTGTATTTTTCATTTTATTAAATTAAAATTCAACATTTAATATGTATAGTAATATATATGTAAGGTATTTATTAGAAAAATGTTTATATATGTAACGTATTCAATACATTAAAGCTTCATTAATTTTAATAATTCAAAGTTTTTCTCATTTTTCTTATAAATTCAAACTTTTCAAATTGTTAAAATTTGATATTTAATTTTTTTTAAATAAACTCATTTAATACATGGGTTTCATACCTATTATATATATATATATATATATATATATATATATATATATATATATATATATATATATATATATATATATATATATGTGTGTGTGTTATATAAAAATCGTTCGGCGGTAACTCGGTGGTTGATTGGGATCAACTGATTAATCGGTTTGACGGGAATCGATCGAAAACCATGAATTACTAATAAAACTATTTTAAAACTTAATATATCCTAAGAAAACTAGTATTTGAAAAATTAAAATTTTTAAAATTTTAAAATTTGAAATATTTGTTATGCAACATTTGAACTTTTGATTGAATTTCTTAAATATTACTATCTAAGAGCGTCAAGGACTGCCGAGGACCGCTTAGCTCGATTTTGACCGATATTAACCAATGTCAACCAAACACCTCTAATCATAATCAGTTGCAGATCGTCTAGATCGATATTTAAAAAAACTGATATATATATATATATATATGTGTGCATCTGTTGTTTATATGATTGTTGATTCATATATATGAATTAAAAGTTAAAATAAAAATAAAAAATAAAAAAAAAGAAAAAGAAAAACAGTAAAAAATCATCAATTTTTTGTTTTTTTGAGCCTTTATATTTTTTAAACGCTAGATTTTGTTAATATTTGGGGTTCTAATTCTGAAAAAATAATGTTTGGATTAATAGGTATAAGTTCATACAAATCTTTTGGTTATAAAAAAAGCTGTGCTATTTTAAATTTTGTACCCTTAACATGACATAATTACTCGATTTGTATGATACTACCAATTATACAGGTAGCCAACTTTTTCATTCGCCTGGTAGCAGATTTGTTGGTTTTCCATTACATATATTTTACGACAAAGAGAGCAATAAGCAAACACAATCCGCATCTATTTTAATGATTTTTATGAAGTTTATCTAAAAAAAGGGATTCCTGATTCTACTTTCACAAATTTTTAAGTGGGGCCAATAATTAAACAATTTCCTGAGGAAAAAAAGTACCTTGCAAAATAAATGATTTTTTCCACTTTTCCTAAATGTTAAAAATATAATGGTGTGATAAATCTACCGCCTTGTTGTGATTAGTCACATTATAAATATTGGGTTATTAATCAAATACGTGTAAAAAGTAAAAACCCAAAAAACAACTCTTCGAAAAAAATGCTTACATTTTCATACAATACAACCAACTTGGATGCAATCCTTAAAAAAAACAAAACATAACGACTACCAATGTTAATATCCTGTGTACAAGTACCATTAAATACTAGGCAGAAAATTGCCAACAAAGTTGGTTGCATGATAAATTCATATCATTAAATGAGACTACAAAAGATTCTTTTAAAAATTGCCTGTGTAGCAATAGCAATAACAACCTTTCTTTACCGGGTTAATTAATCAAAGATCAGTCACATCAGCGGAAAACTAAAATTGCAAAGTTTTAAAAACCAACTTTTTGAGTTAAATTCCGCAAATAAATTATTAAATTTACACAACAAAACAACACAAGCCGTCTGATATCAGTCGATACCCAGACTAGAAAAGTGTTCGAAAGAGCCCTGTGAAAAAAAAAAATATATATATATATATATATATATATATATATTATATATATATATATATATATATATATATATATATATATATATATATGTTTATTAAAAAAAATTGATTAAAAAGAAAGAATAAAAATAAATAAATATATAACTTACAGCATAGTCATCGTGAACACGCCAGATTGCTTCTCCAAGTAGATTTGCTACGGATAAAATAGTCAATTGCGGGAATGAGTTTTTCTCAGACACTGGAATCGTATCTGTAATAATCACCTCTTGGAAAAGACCACTCGATAATCTTTCAACAGCAGGCGGACTACATAACAATTATAACTTTTTAACATATTTTTTAGACGTAAGACCTAAAAATATATATGATAAAAAAGTACCTTAAAAGCGCATGTGTACAGCATGCGTAAACTTCCCTCGCACCTTCGTCACGTAACAATGCTGCCCCTTTGGAGATTGTACCTGTAATAATAATAAGAATTATTATTATTATTATTATTATTATAATCCAAACAACTAGTATTAAATTATATAAGTAAAAGAGTTTGATAATCTCATCTCACCAGCAGTGTCGATCATGTCATCCACCATAACTGCTACTTTACCCTTTACATCACCAATCAAATTCATTACCTGCATCATGATGTCATAAATATAGAAAATGAAAAATCAGGAGGATAATTAGGTCTATCAACACAACAGAGCCTGATTTTTCTTGGGTCTATCAATAAAATTTAATAGTAATAATAATAAGGGTGCTGTTATTTGAAGGAAAGACCCTGTGGAAATGGTGAAATCCTTTCACATCAATCAAATTATCATATTTTATAAATGCTCACTTACCATTGTTACTAAAGACAAAATGCTGTTATTTGTTAGTCTTTTTTACACTGTAAAAATATATGTTTTAACCAAGTGCCTACAATTATGTTGTTTTCTCGATTTCT